TATGCATTGATATAACATGTCAAATGAGTATAACACCGGTACAAAATGAGCATACAGTATTACCAAATGAGCAATGATATGAAAATAATCAGTTTTGTTAGTTGAGCAATCAAGAATTTTTCGTTGAACATCAAAACTTCATCTATTGAGTATCAGAAGCATGCAATTGAGTATCATTATATCTACTCTCGTGTGTGTAATTAACTTTCATTCGAATATAATGTAATATGATAGTTTTGAAATGTGCATTGATATGACATTTTAAAATGAACATAAAATCATATCAGATGAGCATACATACGTAACTTACAAAACGAGCATCGAAAAAATCAATAGCTCATTTGAATTCTCTAATGTGGTCAAATATTTGTTTGTGTATGTTCATTTGTTCTATAATATGTACATATAGTCGATACACAATTAACAATTTACTAAACTATTATAGATAACAAAGAGAAATAGAATAGTTTTATATTAAAAAAAATAGAGTCTTTCATTCTTGAATTACAAATGTAATCATGTTCTTTTTATAATAATTTGATCATTTTCTTTTTACTCAAGCAAATTTAGTTTACATTATACTCATTTTAGTATAACTCAAAACTCATAATAGTAATTAGCGCACAATAATTAAGAAATTAATAAATATTCACCTTAAAATTTTAAAAGAAACTAAAAAGTTAATAACTAAAATATTTTAAAATGCCCAATTAAACAAAAGTAAGTTAAAAGATTGGTTGGGAAGAGCAAAAGTTGTTAAAGCAAAAAAGAAAAAAAAGAACAAGGAAAACAATGCAACGGAATAATAAGTTAATAAGAGAAAGAGAGAAGCATCAAAGCAAATGTAGTTGACGAAAAAAGAAAAAGAAAGAAGCAGGAAGGCAATGGAACGGAAGAACAAACGAGACAAGGAGAAAAAAGAAGCGGGACTGGACAGTCGGCAACGAAGAATTCAAGCGGAAAAACAAGAAGAAGAGAAACATGTCACCTAACTATTACCCCATAAGTTGCCACTAATTACAAAAATGACGACTGTACCATGGTCATTGTACAGCCGGCTGTACCATGGTCATGGTACAGCCGGCTGTACCATATAATTTGCCCTAACAACGGGCTATCCTAGAGTGAATTTGTTTTTCTTTTCGCAAAATTTTCAAACCTATTATAGTATCTTAAAGTCAACATCCTTGAATTGGGATCAGATTCAAACATGTGATCTCCTCTTTAGAAGTGTCACAGTGATGTCATCAGATAACATACCAGGTACTTGGCGTTGAATGAATTTGTTTATAGAATTGAGGAAATTAGTGAGATTATTATTTACAATTACGTTTTATATGGAATTATTCACTTTGCATTCTGATCTAGTAAAAATTCACGGAACGCATATGCGATTTATAGAATTCTGAAATTTAGATTTTATGGATTTCTTACCCACATGGCCACATGTACAAAAATATCTACAATCGAGGATCTATAAATAGGAGAATGACTTTGTTCTTCCAATCTAAAGAGGGTCAACGTGATCCTTCTACCCATCCAGTAGCGTGCCGCCATTTGAGGCAATTATTTTTCTATAGAATACCGTAACAATTTCTTAGTTTTGATTTTACCAAAAATATATCAAAGTTAATTTTTTTGTCACATTTAGGATGTTTTTACTTGGACTGTAATTTGCTGGTCTGGTCTGGTCTGGTCTGGTCTGGTCTGGTCTGTTTTGGTCTGGTCTGGTCTGGTCTGGTCTGTTTTGGTCTGGTCTGGTCTGGTCTGGTCTGGTCTGGTCTGGTCTGATTTTTTTTTTTAATTTTTTTTGCATAAAGATTTTATTTTTGATATATATTTGATGGATAGTCTACCCGGGGGGTATCTTATCCGAGGGGTTATTGCGGGAATAACTAGAGAGAAGTCAGAGCAAAATAGGAGGAGAGAGAGTCGATTTATTAAATGAACTCTGCGTGGAGTTGAGATGTAGATTGTGTCGATTACAAGGAGAAATGGGCTGCTATTTATAGTAGCAATAAATGCGATGAGAGTACACGTGTCAGTAATCCAACGGCCGAAGGGTCACATCAGCCTGGTGGCACCGGCAGTGGTACGTTCACCGCATTGAATGCGGTTGGCGGATGTGACGTGGCATTAAATGCGGTGGTTGGCTGTCCCCAAAAGGAATCTTCGATGATTGAGCATGCTTGGCCGAAGGCTTCTTGTGTAGCCGAGGGCTCCGTGTAACCAAGGACCCCTGTGTAGCCGAAGGCCCCGAGTGGCAGGGGGCTAAGTTCAGCCGAAGGCTCCCCTGATGCCGAGGGCTTGGTAATGCCGAAGGCTCATGTTTTTCGCCGTTTTCTCCCAGTGGCTTCGTATGTCAGAGAGGGCTACTTCGTGAGTTTCTGGAGCCTTCGGCCAAGGAGGCCGAAGGCACCCCCAGTATGTATTTCGGGCTATTTTGGGGCTTGGGCCGTTGCTTTTGGGCCTGAGTTGTTCTCTGGGCTCAATGGACTTGTGTAGGAGAAGTAGGAGTCCATGGGCCGGGGGTTCCCGGGCCATATACTCCATCAGGAGTCCCTCACTCCTTTTGCCGAAAGGTACTTGAGGGAAAAGGAGTAGATGTGTTGGTTCTTCCGGAGGCTGCATCATTTCGTTGGGTGCCTTTGTTGGAGAACTCGTCTTCTGCTGATTGCCGAAGGCTTCCCTCAGTCCCCCACATGTCGAGGGTTCTCTGAGGGAAGGTATTCGTAACCTTCACATGTTCGCCGGGGGCTTCCCTCAGCCCCTCACATGTCGAGGGTTTTCTGAGGGAAGCATAGATGTATTGTCTGCATGTATTGTGATGAGGGGTTGTACTGTGATGTTTGCCCAGAGGTCGTATGCGTCAATTGTAAATTGTTGCATGAAGAAATTTTTGGTGTGTATGATCCCCGAGGGGTGTATGCCAGTCCCCCACTCCTTTAGGCCGAAGGCGAGTTCGGGCTGAAGGAGTTATGATGAGTTGATGATCCCCCGAGGGGTTGTATATTGACAAGCCGAAGGCTTATGCTGCTACGGGCTCGAAGGCGTTCGGTGGAATCAATTGTCCGTGGGGTGTGGTGGGTGATAGCCGGAGGCTATCATTCGAAGGCACCCCAGTGGCGCCGAAATATAGTCGTTGTAATATAGCCGTTGGAAGGGGAGTTGACGTGGCGTGTAGTCGTTGGTCGGAGGCGGGCGGCGGCCATCCATTGGCTGAACCGGCGGCCCGTAATGATGGCCTTTTTAAATTGAAGCCCAGATTCCGAGGCTGGGAGCCTATAAATACCCCAAGCCCGAACTCATATTCCTTGTGCGATATTTGTGATAGCGAAGCTCTGCCCTTTTGTTTTCTAGAGAGAGAAAGCCCTGTTCGATCAAACCCCAAGTTTCGAGGTCAGTTCTTCACCCGTTCTTCGCTTTACTAGCATACTTCGCTTTTCTCCCTTAGATCTTGTGTTAGAGGTCTTAGGAGCCTTCGGTAGGAACATTTAGGTAGTCCCCCTCAGCCATACTTCTCCTACTCTCCCTTCAGAATCATGTCCTCGCAAAGCGATTCCCAAGATATCTCGGGGGAGCCGTCGGCACAACAGGGAAGCTACTCGGACGTGGAGTCCTCGAGTGCGCAATCCTCGGCGAACAACGATTCAGCGGTTGCCGAGGAAGTTCAAAATAACCTTCGCACTGAGCTGGAGGCGGAGGAGTTCGAGCAGGTTGTCGAAGATGAAGAAATGGCCCTCGCCCTTCAAGTAGCTGAGGAAGAAGAAGAGAAGGAGAGACAAGAGGTCACAATTGCTGTCCTCCCGCTCCGTGGTGCCGGCGAGGCGAGCACCTCCCGGCCACTAGATCCAGAACCCCTCAGCGTTGCCGTGGGGAAGAAGAGGAAGAAGGCGAAGGCTTCTCAGAAGAAGAAGAAGCAACCTGCCGCAGATTGTGGGAAGCCCGTGGGGATCCCCGAGGGACACTCTTGGCTGAATACAGCCGCCCTCGCGCTTAGATCGAGGGCTGACCGGGCAGAGTGCTACGTTACTCAGCTGCATGTGGGCCCCTCGGCGGAGGTGATCGAAGCGGGGCCCAACGATCTCCTCTCCCAGGCTCCCGAAGGATGTTTCGCCGTCCATGTGCTGTCGGTAGCCATGGGCCTCCGGTTCCCGCTGCATCCTTTCCTTCTCGAATATCTGAGATACGTGGGTTTAGCCCCTTGTCAGCTCACCCCAAATAGCCACTCGTACATTACAGGCTTCCTTCAGCTTTGCCGGGCCCGCGGGGTAACCGCGACCCTTGATCTATTTTTTCAAAGCTTCAACTTGTGCCGGGGGGGACATACCAACTCCGAGGGGTTTGCAAACCTGCAGCAGCTTGCCCCTTGGAGGCTTTTTGATGATGTGCCTTCGTCTCACAAGGGGTGGAGGGACCGGTTCTGTTATATCAAGATGGCAGAAAACCCGTTTCCGGGGGAACTGCGCAACCACTTCCGGCGGCATCCGAAGGTGGGAAGTGCCGCTCTTCAGAAGGAGGGGAAGAAGATTGCTGCTTTGCTGCCGGGGGCCACAAAGCACGTGACAGTCAAGGACTCTACTCTCCCGGAAGATTTGCTGGCCTTAGGCTTTCGGCGTTATCGCTTTCTGGGTGAAAAAGACGAACAGTACCCCGTCCTCGAGAGAGCCCTCGGTAGCATTGGAGGTAGTTACCGGAGGGTCCCGTTTTTTGTACTTAGGGTTTTGTAGTTTCCTTATTTTCTTTCCTTTGTAGTTGACCCCTCTGGTCTGACTCCGTTGTTGTTTTGCAGGTGTAAGCATGGATGTCTCCAACTTCGCAGCCCTCAAGAAAAAGCTGGCCAAAGAGCCTAAGAGGAAGGAGGCGGGTAAGCAGAAACCCGTCAACGAGTTCTTCAGGAAGGATGGGACCACTCAGGTTCCCGGGGGAGAGGTTCCCTCCCAAGCCGTCGGTGCCGGTACCGACGCCGGAGGCTCCAAAGCGGAGCTGAAGAGGAAAGGAGCCGGGAAGGGTGTGGTGCCACCGGAGAAGAAGAAAAAGAAGGGGGGCCCTGAGGAGAAGGACGCCCCCCTCGTCATTGTCGAAGAGCATTCCTCCTCCTCTCCCTCAGCAAATGCTCTTCCTCCCCCCGGGGACCAAGGCAACAACCTGGCGTGGCCCCGGGATGATGTGCAATTCTCCATCACCAAGGGAACTGCCATCATGCATGGCACCCTCAACCCGAGGGAGTTCCTAAAGGGTGCCACGCCTCCGACTGACAAGTCGGTGCTCTCGAGGGCGAAGGATGATGCCCTCAGTGCCAAGGTGCTCCAAGCCTCCGTCACTGTAAGTTTCTCTCCTAACTTTTGTTCAGTTGATGGGCCTGGTGTATTTTTACTTTACCAAGCTGATCATTGCTGTATGACGGCTTTGATTTGTAGGCTGCCCTCGGGCTTGGGGAACTGCTCCAGAGGATGGAGCAATACCAGCTGCAGAAGTTGCAAGCCGATGAGGCCCTGGCGGAGTCCCGGCGACAGCTCCAGGAGGTCCGAGAGTCCCTCCGGCGGGAGACGGAGGCGTTCAACTCCATCCTGGAGAACAACAAAATAATCGCCAGGGCTGAGGGCAAGGCCGATGCTGAGAGGGCTGCAGCGGAAGCCTCCAAGGTTGCTGCGGAGGAAGCCGAGGCTGCGAAGAAGGAGGCTGTTGCTCGGGCAGAGAATGATGCCATCGCCGCCTTTGTCGCTGAGGGGTGGAAGGCCGAAGAGCACAAACAATGGTTGTCCTCGGTGGTGGAGGCCTCGGTTGATGATTGGGTAAAGGACCACGGGGCTTTATGGTTGGCCCGCAAGGGCAAAGACTACTATGACGGTGGGGAATTCTTTACCCAGAAGCTTGTTTACCGACGGCTGGCCAGGCACTTCAATATTGAGCCGAAGGAATTTGATCCGGCAGCTTACGGCCTTCCCCCTCTGCAGCCAGATGTAAGAGTCCCTCTTCCTGAGGGCGAAGAAAGGCCGGATCTTGAAGACTCCGAGCTCATGCAGGAAGGCGGTGAAGAGGCCGGTGATGATGCCACTTCTAAGACTGCCGAGGAGGGGGCTCAAACTGCCGATACTTAGCTTTACCTTTCTTGTTGTTTGTAGTTGATAGTACCCTTCGGCCTTGTATTGTAATGACATTTCTTGTAAACTCCAACTCTTGATGATGAATGATATGCCTCCGGGCTTTGTTATATTGAATGCTTCGTTTGCTGAATTCGAGTGCTTGCCTTCGTTTTTTATTTTCCGCGTATGAACGTATGCTTTATTTTCATCTCTGAAGGTCTAAGTGAAAGCTTGGCTAGAACCTTCTGAATGTATGCCTAAGTGAAAACATAATCAGAAGCCTTCGGTAATAAGGCTCAAACGCCAGGGGCTTGCAGTTGTGGACTCGGAAAATCTTCTAAGCACGGTTTCTCCGTATGCTTTCGGTAATAGTTAGCCTTCGGTAGGGTAAGCTTTCCCGGGGGGCTTGTAGTTGTGGACTTAGAAATTTTTCTAAGTGAGACCAGACCAGGACCCTTCGGTTGTGAAGTGGAATTACGTGGGGGTCGTTGCTTGTGTACTTAGAAGGTCTTCCAAGTAAAACTTTGATTAAGTAAAATTCCATCGCATGTCTTCGGTGATGAACCATTGGGATTGCTTCGGGGTTGTAGCGATAGGATCGAGGGCTAAGGTGAATTAGACTTAGGAAATTTCCCAAGTGCAGTTGCCTCTAATGCCCCCGGGTAGCTTTAGGTCATGGCCAAGTGGCTTAGGGGAGCCATCGACCACGCATCTGTAGGTGAAGAATTGCCCCCCGAAGGGTCTCCCATTTGTGGACTTGGTCAAATTTCCACAATATTCCAATAGTAGTTGTAGTGAACCTTCCGGTATGGGAACTGCTCTGAGCCCCCGGTATATATGGTTGCCGGGGGTTTCGAGATTGTGGACTTAGTGAAATTCTGAGATGTGTTTCCAACAGATCTTATGAGTAGCCCTCCGGTTCGGTGAGTGTTTTCCTAAGGATACCAATACGTGGACTTAGAAATTTTCTCATCCTTGAATGAGCCTGGTGACGTTCTGCCTTCGGCCTTCGGTTTGTGCACATATAGTACTCCGAGGCCTCACGTAGTGAAGCTTTTGGCTATGTAGCCAGATGATTCGATGTTGAGAGATTTTCTTGCGCATTTGTAGCAGCCTTCGGCAATGTATATCCGAAGTGTTGAGCCTCCGGGGAAAATAGTATCCGGGGAGTTCCTTCCCCCCTACACATCTTTTTTTTTTTTTTTTTTTTTTTTTTTTTTTTTTGTTGATGGTGTAGGAGAGGCATCTAGAAACTTGGTTTCTAGGAAAGGCTTGGCCTATATGGGAGGCAACGGAACAAACCGTTGGCTCCCCCTTCGGGAATGACCTTCCGATATCCCGAAGGGTTTGAGGGTCGTTTCCTCGGCCCGAGACATCATCTGTTGCCTGCTTCCCCTTGGGAGATAGCACGGAAAGCGCCTCGGTTTTGAAAGTCGTCCCCTCAGCCCGAGACATGGTCTGTTGCCTGCTTCCCCTTGGGGGATAGCGCGGGGAGCGTTTCGTTTGTGGAAGTCGAATCCTGGGCCCGGGACATGGTCCGTTGCCTGCCTCCCCTTGGGGGATGGCGCGGAAAGCGTTCCTGGGAAGGGTTTTATTTGTGTGTGGGACACAAATAGCCGGGGGCACTTGGTACCAGCCGGAGCCGAGGGGTGTTGCACCCCCCGGTTTTTTTTTTTTTTTTTTTTTTTTTTTTTTTTTTTTTTTTTTTTTGGGAGAGTGTGTAAAAGTATGCATAATGTATGCATGGTTGCGTCCTCGTGGGGTACGGCTTAGTGAGAAAACACTTGGTGTTTTCAAAGAGTGATGGGGGTGACCCATACACTTGGTACTTGGTACCTAAGTTGTTGTTTCCCTTCCTGAGAGGGAGAGGCCTCGGGCCTATTTTGGTGAAGATGAGGGCTTGGCCACTCATTTGTAGGAGAGAAAGGGGGGGCCTTGGGCCGCTTGTACAATATGTAGGTGATGAAGGCTTGGCCTTTTGATTATTCTTCAAAAACAGATGGGGCCTTGGGCCATTGATATTTACACTTGCTGAGGATGAGGGCTTGGCCGCTCATTGATAAAACTTTACCAGGTGGTGCACATTCCAATGTCTAGGAATCTCTGTCCCATTGGGACGTTTTAATTTGTATGTTCCCGGTTTGATGATGGCTGAGACGATGTAGGGGCCCTCAAACTTGGGTGCCATCTTTCCTCCTTCGGTGGGTAGACTGGCCTCCCTTCGTCGGAGGACGTAGTCTCCCACCTGGAATTCCCGAGAGCGGACCTTGGCGTCGATGTATCCTTTGACTTGTCTCCTATAGTTTTCGGCCCTGAGGAAAGCTTGCTCTCGGCGTTCCGAGATGAGATGAAGGTCGAGGGCCATGTTTGCGTCGTTGGCCTCGGGCTCATATTGTTCCACCCTTCGGGTAGGAAGGGTAACTTCTGTTGGAGCCTTAGCCTCAAAGCCATAGCATAGGGAGAAGGGGGTTTCGCCTGTTGCACGCCGAGGGGTGGTACGGTAGGCCCACAAGATGTTGTGTAGCTCTTCTACCCAGCCTCCCCCTTCGGCTTCCAGCTTTTTCTTCAACCCTTCAAGTAGGGTTCGGTTGGCGTTCTCTACTTGCCCGTTGCCCTGAGGGTAGGCAACGGAAGAGAATGTGTGCTTGATGCCCCAAGCTTCAAGGAGGGCGCAGAAGGGGGCTGCCTCGAACTGAGTCCCGTTGTCGGAGATGATTTGTTGGGGGACGCCAAACCTTGTGAGAATGTTCTTGAGGACAAAGTGACGGCATCGGGCCTCCGTGATGCTGGCGAGGGGCTCCGCCTCCACCCATTTGGTGAAGTAGTCAATGGCCACAATAATGTACCTGTTGTTGGAGGTGCCCCTTGGCAGAGGGCCTACTAAGTCAATCCCCCATCTGGAGAAGGGTATAGCGGTGCTGATGGGGGCATAGTTAACCGCTGGTCTGCCGGGGGCTTTCTGAAAGTGTTGGCAAGCGGTGCACCTCCGGGCTAGATCAGCACAATCTCTAGCCATCGTGGGCCAGAAGTAGCCTTGAACTATGAGCCTTCGGGACATGGAGAAAGGTCCCTGGTGAGCTGAGCAAGTGCCACTATGCACTTCCTCCATGGCGATTTCGGCCTCATCTTGATGAAGGCACCGAAGGAGGGTGCCGTTGTAAGATCTCTTGTAAAGCCTCCCGTTTTCGATGGTGTAGCTGGGAGCCCTCAGCTTTGCTATCTTGGCGCGGGCCTCGTCTTGGGGCAATTGCCCTGTGGTGATGAAGGCGATGATGTCAGAGATCCAATCCTCCGACCTCAGGTTAATGCTCGTGACGGGGCTCGCGTGGATGCTTGAGAGGCTGAGTTCCTCAATTCTTGCTATTTTGGAGAGGTGCTCTGGGGATTCGTCCGAAAGCTTGGATAGAATGTCGGCCTCGGAGTTTTGGGCCCTCGGTATTTGGGTGAGAGAATGTGCCTCAAACACCTTGAGCAACTCCTTAGCCGCTTCTTTGTATTGTTTCATCCTTTCTTCCTTGGCCTCGTACTCCCCGGAGATTTGACCCACGACAAGTTTAGAGTCGCACTTGACGTGGATCATTCTAGCCTTCAGGTTTGCTGCTAGCCGAAGGCCACAGAGGAGGGCCTCATACTCGGCTTCGTTGTTGGAGACTTTGAAGGAGAAGCGAATGGCATAATATGCGCGGAAGCCCTCGGGTGTGATGAGAACTACTCCTCCTCCGCACGCTTTGGTGGCTGAGGAGCCATCGGTGTAGAGTGTCCACCACTCATCGAGGGGTGCCGAAGGCTCCTCGTCAGTTGCTGATCTCGCGGTGCATTCCGTTACGAAGTCTGCCAGGGCTTGGCCCTTAATGGCAGGCCTCGGACGGATGTCTATGTTGTATTGGCTGAGGAAGATGGCCCATTTTACCATCCGGGAGGAACTAGTGGGACTTCTCATGAGGGCGCCGAGGGGTTGATGAGTGAGCACTTGGACCGGATGAGCTTGAAAGTAGTGGCCAAGCTTCTTGACGGTCCAAACGATGGCTAGCACCGTCTTCTCGACGGGAGAATACCTGAGTTCGGCCTCCCGGAGGGTTTTGCTGACGTAGAAGATGGCATGTTGGATGCCGTCTTCCTCTCGGATCAGTACTGAGCTGATAGCCGCAGGGCTAACACCGAGATACAAATATAAAGTCTCCCCCGCCTTTGGTTTGGAGAGCACTGGGGGAGAGGAGAGGTACTTCTTAAGTTCGTCGAAGGCCTCTTGACACTCAGATGTCCATTGGAAGCCAGCTGTCTTCCTCATGATTTGGAAGAATGGGAGGCCCCTCTCGGCTGACTTAGAGAGGAATCGGTTGAGGGCCGCCAGGCGACCCGTCAACCGTTGAACTTCTTTGACGTTGCGCGGAGGCTCCATATTGATGATGGCCTGAATTTTCTCGGGGTTGGCCTCGATACCCCTTCGGCTTACCATATAGCCCAAGAACTTTCCACCTTGTACGCCGAAGGTGCATTTCTTTGGATTCAATCGGAGGTTGAATTTTTGCATGATGGCGAAGATTTCCTGGAGGTCCTCGGCGTGAGTGCCGGCCTTCTTGCTCTTGACAATCATATCGTCAACATAGGCCTCCATAGTGCGCCCCAAGACAGCTTGAAAGACCCTGGCCACCATTCGGGTGTAGGTGGCGCCTGAATTCTTGAGGCCGAAGGCCATCACGAGGTAGCAGAAGATGCCTTCGGGTGTCATGAAGGCAGTTTTTTCAGCGTCTTCTTCATGCATATAGATTTGATGATACCCGCGGAATGCGTCGAGGAAGGACATGATTTCGCATCCCGCGGTCTCATCCACCAGTTGATCAATGTTTGGCAGAGGGAAGGGGTCCATAGGGCACGCCTTATTCAGATCAGTGTAGTCCACGCACATGCGGAAGGTAGGAGGCTTCTGTGCAAGGACTACATTCGCTAACCAAGAGGGGTATTTCACCTCCTTGATATGTTTGATGGAGAGGAGCATGGCTACCTCCTTCTTCACGAACTCCCTTCTCTCGGCCGA